AGTAGACTTGCTACTGAGATTTAGGCTTCAAGATGGTCAAATAATGAAAGGATAGAGGTTGTATGTGAGGGAAACAGTTAGTGATGGGTTCACATCCTGGTTACAGTCCTGTAAACATTAGTCGCCCACAGGCACACCTTAGAGCACAATCAGAGACAGGCACCCTCCATACGAAACATCATCCCACCTCCCTTCAGCTGGAGGTGACCTGCCCTCCACAGATCATAACGAGAACCTATGTTATTGGTTTAAAATAGACTCCCTAACTTAGTCCTGTCTCTGGTGAGCCAGCTGACCAGACTGCTGGGGCTCATTGAGGAAGGTAGTTAACACTCAGAGTGGATGGGGAAGCTGTTCTTGGTAAACTACAGACCAGTGGCAGCCTTGGATTAGATGGACAAAGGGATTAAGTATTGATTGCCATGATAATGAAGACTGTGGACTAGATATAGACCAAATCAGAGAAGACTCAGGTGCTAAGGGAAGGGATTGTTGTGCTAACGTATACTAACAGGATAGCATATACACAGCCTTTACGACTGAGTGAGCCCCCATATTAGTCTATGACTCACTTTGTTCTGCCAGCTCTGCTGCGAGAGTGGCAACCTCTGACAAAACATTAATAATAAAAAACAGAAGAATGATGTTATCTTAAATTGCGGCACCCAGCTGCTAAATTAATGTATGCTGAAACCCCACGGTTTGCAAAGCCCACTGAAGCCAGTGGAAAGATTCCCATTGACCTCTGTGGGCTGTGAATCATTCTCAAACAGAAATGGAGCTCCAGTTCCAGTGGGTGTTCTCATCTCCATGCAGATTAGTCCTGGGACAGATCTCCTATCAGCCATGGTGTTTGTTGGGTGATGAAACTATTTGCTGCTGATAAGGTGAAGCATACCCTCATTGTACTGTGAAGTGGGGATGGGATGAGTTCATCAATCCCATTAGACATTACATCTAAGCTAATCACCCTCTGCTTCTCTGGTACTCAATAGAGAGAAGTCAGCATTTCATCTGCAACTCATCACTCCAAAATGGACATCTAAAATAGGTCAGATGACTCACGCTCTAAATGCCTGTTTCTTCCCATTGACAATAAAGGGAGCCTGAGGTAATTTTCTCAGATTCAGACATTGACATGCGGTTGGAAGAATTTCACTCCAAGCATCTTCATTAGACAAGCTTCAAAAATGTTGTGTTTTTATATCTGATTGCTAAATCAAACAGCTAAGTCAAAACAAGATCCTAGTGGAGACAGGTTCAGGTAAACCCAGTTGGCTTTGAGTTGTCTTGCATGAACTACAGAGCTTTGCCTCAGTAGGATTTTATATTAATAGCTTAAAAATATACCGAGTTTTTTCAGTGACAAGATAGCCTTTGACGTACCCTGCTCTGGTTATGTTCTGCGTGACAGGTCCAAAATGGTCTCACGTATATTCCAAACATAATAATATTAAATGGACAAGAGACTCCAAATTATTGTTGTTACTTTGGTCTCAGAAAGCTCTCATCCCACTGGTGAACAGTATAGGGTGAAATTCAGCACTAAATTCAAACCTAAATGTATATGTTTACAACAGGGTCTAGGCTCTTGTTATACTTACTGGAGAACTAGTCAATACAGGCAATGGAGACTGGAAAGCAATTCATGGGCCTAAATGTAGGTATCTACTTTAGAGTGACTTGGACTACACTCTAGGCTCTGTTGGCTGTAGAAAATCCCTCTCCAAACCAGGAATTTGGCCACCAGCTCCAGCATAGTCACTACACAAAGAAGATATCTAAAATTAGGTAATCGTAGTTGAATCCCATCCACTGGAAACTGCCCACTTGTTTGCCCAGTAATAATATCCTTACCTGGACCGTATCCTGACAGGCTACCGTGTGATGAGATGTGTCTGTCCTGGACCACTAGAACTGTTATGGCAGGAGATAATGAACTAATACAAAGATAAAAACAACCCAAAATAAGCTTTGAAGTAACAAGTTCAGTTTTAAGTGATGTTTCCTGTGTGTATATATATATATATGTTTTTTTAAAGCAATACTTTTCTAAATGGGCAGGAAAGTTTTTATACTTGTGTTTTTGTTCATACTGAGAATGAAAATATACTGTTAAACTTCAACATTTGCGATGAAATGGAAATGCTGAGTTTCAAACAGCTCAAGTAAATTCGATGAAGCCCTGCAAAGATGAAGTGTACAACATCTTTAGCACAACCAAAACCATAAACTGGCTCCACAAGGGGACATGTAAGTATGACTGCCAGTCTTTGTTGTGTCAGTCTGATCCCTTTCCACCAGATGTTTCTCGGATGATAGTCCAGACACACCAACATAAAGCTTCTCATGAAATTACCCAAAACATAATAGAGTCCTTGCATATTTGAAAAGCTCTATTCAGAAACACAGTTTCTAACTTGGCACTTATCCTCAAAATATTCATGATTGTCAGCATCTATTAAAAACAAGAATAACAATGGCTATTTCCATAATAGCTGTATTTTGAAATCACTTTGTAAACTTAACAGCCTTATCTGAGATGTACGGACTCATATCATGTATTAGGGAATGCAGCTCCCTCTGGGGCAAGAACTGAACTTCTGTTCTCAAAAATTCTATAAAGAAATACAGATAAGGCATGAATACAGATTTCTGAAAATTGAGCCCAATTTGGATTTTCAGGTAGGCTGAATATGAGTTTTGCTCTCAGAATGTGCCTCGAAACCATACTTAACTTTCGAAAGAATGGAATGATTTCTTTTTTAATGAGCAACAGTAAGTGGGATTTCTCTCTTTTGCACTAGAGAGATGGCATAAGGTTTCGATGTACTGCAGTATCAGGCAAGGGAACTGGTGCAACGAGACAGCATGGGCTGCAGAAGTGTCAGTGCAATAAACAACACTGAACTGCCTTTTGTGTTCCCATTGATACAGCACTGAGATGACAGCTGGGACACCAGGACTGTGTTCCAGTTTTCTGTTTAGGCAAGAGTCCTCTGTGTTTTCTTTTCTCTAAAATGAGATCTCTCCTTTGTGATATCTTTGGTGAGAAGCCTGTCTAATAGAAAGGTGGTTTGGTTTGGTTTGTTTCTGAGTGAACCGCAGCTACTCCAGGTAACTTTAGCTAGGGAGAAATCTGTCAGTGTGAACTTTGCCACTTCTGGAATATGTGCTAAATGCAGGCACAGCAAAATGACCCTCTGGAAAAACCCCAAGTGCTGTTTTTGTCTGCCAGGGAAAGAATGAAGTGTCTTCCTATAGCATGTCACAGGTTGGTTTCTGGGGAAGCACCACAAGCTAGTGGCTTGGGACACTTCAGAGAAATCATGTCTGCCAAAGAAGTTTCTTCCTAGCCTCTTTCCTTGGAAAGCTCCTTCAATTCAGCATGATGTGAACTGTATTTTTCAGAGCAATGCTTGCTTGTGGGTCTCATCTGCACTTAATTACAACATAGCCATTGCAAATATAATGCCTTTTGACTGATAGGTCACCCTAATAATCATCCTGCTCTAATGAGAAGTCCATACCACTCGGTGAAAGCCTCAATCACTTCTAACATGCTGTGTAACTGTCACTTATGCAAGACAAAATGATGGAAAAAAAGACTATTTTTTACTTGCATTAATGGAGTTTGCTTGAAGCCAGACCTGGTACTCTGCAACATGCAGGGGAAAATCAATTCTGGAAGGAATTTTTGTATCACATAAAATGCCCCTCATGTGTTTTTCCGTTATTAAAAGTATAACCTAAACTCTTTTAGGATGGAATAATCTAAGCTGGAAGGAAAATACAAAAATAGGCTAGGAGGGACCTGACATGTTTAGCTGGGGAAAAGGTTGCAAACACAAAAAGTTTTGGCTTCTCCTTTTCCATAATTTTCAATCATTTTCAATCTTGTCAGCATGAATAATAGAGTTGATTTTTGCTATGATTATGAAGCAGCTGCAGAATACATAACAAAGTCAAAAAACAGCTGAAAAAACTTTTATCTATTTTGTTTTCAATTGAGACACTCCTCCTAACTGCAGAAAAGTAACCAAGCTGAGTATAATTCCATAAGCCACATCTGATCAGCATACAGTTTAGGTTTTGGAGGGAATTTTTAAGAAATCTTATGAAACAAAATAAATAATGCTACTTACATGTTACAGTCAGACAAAGTATCTTTTTATGTAGTCAAAAGAAATATCCTTTTTGCAGCCCAGAACAGAAGTCCTAACACTGACATTTGTTGCTCTGCATGTGCCCGTTTAGTCTCTCTTGCTGAGGACTTTAGTGGTTAGTGGACCAAGATGGCAGATAGAAGCTTCTCAGGAAATTACGGAGGTACATTTGGATGGGAGTCATCTAAGTTAGCCTAGATCCCCTTTACACACTACAACAGGTATTTCCAGGTGAAGGACTCATCTTCTTTTAATGTAGACATCTAAAGGTCAGATGGATCACACACGAAAGGTGCCTATTTCTCTTTTATCCATAAGTACGGCCTGCGGTGTCCAGTTTAAAGGAAGCCTCATGAAGGGTGGATAGGTGAGGTAATACATTATTCTAAGAACTGGAAAAAGAGGAGAAAAGGTGTGTTCAGTTCTGATTGACCCAGTTTTATTTTATTTTGTGGCAATTGTGATTCTAGATGACTTCACTGGTGCTAGAGGTTTTCACCTGACTTAGTAAGGAAATTAATCTTCTCTGGTCATTCCCTCTGTTTGTTTCTCTGTCTTGTTCTCTGTCCTGGGAAGTTGTCCCTGGCCCATGCTAACTCCTAAACTGCTCCTGGAAATTGCTTAGGAGAGTTTTAGTTTGCCTGGATCCAAGCCAGGCCAGTACCTTGTTGACAATATAGATGGACTGAGTTCTACCGCCTTGTGCAGGTGTCTGTCACTGTTTAATTTGTTGGTGTAGCCTGGCAGGGACAGAGAGAGGGATGGATAATTTCCAAATGGCAGCTGGGATCTAGCCACCCAGTTTTGGAGGGTGAGAGAAATTCACAATAGGACATGACCAGATCACTCCAAAAGGCCTCCAATCAGCAAAAAAGCCCTGCCATGTGCAAAAACCATGTCAAGAACCAGGTAAACAATCAAATAACATCCAGCCAAAAGCAAGCAGGACATTCTCCATTTTGAGTGAGGCACATTAGCCATCAAGTTCTGTTTATCATGTTTTCAGGTTGGTCTTCAATCCTTGTGCCTGTAAAGAAACTCTTCCATAAACAAATCATTTATTTTATCTGGTGTGGATGTTTTATTTTAAGTTATTTTAAGTCCATTAGGATACATCAAAACTAAATAAAGGAACATTTTATTGGTACTCATGTTCAGCCAATTGAATTGAGCCTGCAGCCAATGTTATCAATGGAGTCTAGAGAGAGATTAGCTGACCAAACGTAGGAGGTAGACTGCATTGCCTAAATAAAAGTGTCGAGCCATTTGAGATGCCCTGATTTATCTCACTTGGTCTACAGATGCTCTACCAGAAGGGCTCATTTTCCTATTGTATCTGTCATATCTGCCAGCCCACACAGATGTCTCACATGCCCTATGGCACCTCAAGTGTTCAGGCAACTGAACCATGTCTGTAGTGGCTGATCAGCTTAATTACTCCCTAGGGTCTACCCTCTATAACGGGAGCTTAGACATCTGCTGCACCTGTAGACACATGTGGTGCAGGTCTCTTAATCTGTAGCTCAATCTCATTTTAAGGACTTGAGTCAGTTCACAGATGGACTTCTAGCACCGTTTTAAATGCTCTGTGATACGGCGGACATCCTCACAGGGCTGGCCAATATGACACAATTAGGATACCTGCTCCTTCTAGACCAGCAGCAGAAGGACCAGTAGGGTACCCTAGGGCTTCTCAAACAGCCCAAGGCACCTCCCTATGTGCAGGTAACTGGACTGAGCCTCATGTCTTAATCATAACCTGAACTCCACCAACAAAGCTGGTTGCTCCTTGTCTGTACAACACATATTTCAATCTTACATGCTCTACTGAAGAAAACTTCACACAGATGGTAAATCATTAAATTCCTTCCATTAAGCAAATATACTTTCCTTCAGCTGTGGGTTACCCAGCAACTGACAATTTGGCAGTGATACACTTATTTTTATGATTAACCTTGTGAATTCACGGGCACTTGCTTTCCTAAACAGCTGACCTTTTCCTACAATATTATTTTTGACAAGTGATGGCTCATTACTCTCTGTTAAACTGTCAGTATTTTAATGTTCAGCTTTCGAATTATTATCAAAGGCAGAGGCACCAATATCCTATATTAAGATTTCCTCACGCTTTCCACAATAAAGTCTTGCTATGCTGGAACTTTCAAGCTGAAATTACTTTTGCCACATTTGTTTCACACTGATATTTTTTCAGAAAGGTTCAATAAAAAAATGCATTCCTTTCCAAGACCAATGTTAAGAAATATTTTGTGTATGTAAAATAATAAAAAAAATACAATCAGTCATACAAAAATAAGTTTATACATGCTCAGGAGAGCCTCAGTTTGACAGCTATATTGTCCAGTGTGCAGGCACTGAGCCCCTCCCAACACCGCTCCTTCTCCCACCATCCCTTGGATCATCAGGCACATCCAGCCTGGGGTCACTGGGGCTGAGCAAGGCCTTCCCTGTAAAGATTTCTCCAAGAAGCTGCAGGTCAGTGCTGGTCAGTGACACAGAGAGCAGAAGGAATTGCTGGAGCCCCTACTATGCAAAGAAAGGTGCAAACTGAGTCAAATGAAGATTTCTGAAAAATGAGGATAGATTTAGGAGAGAAAGAACAAGGAAAGAGAGCAGAAGGAAAGATGGATATCTGGGGAATGCAAAAAGAAAACTGGCAGGTAGCAAAAAGGGAGAGAAAACTGTAAAAGAACAGAAACAGGAGCAGAGGGAAGCGCAGATTCTGCAATGTTTCTGCCAGAACATGGGCAAGAGATGAAGGGAAGTGGATGGCTTATGCATTTTAGCATAGGACCGCCAGGACTCCCTCCTCTCTAGGGAAACAGCTGCAACCAGGACTGCAAGACAGAAATATTTGGTATCATCTCTTGTTCCTCTCTCAAAGGGCAACAAACCCCACAAACCAGAATTTTTGGCTAATTGTTCAGATCAAAACAGGAAATGAAATTTGGTTTTTAGTATGTTACTAGTTCTTTCTGCGTAACTTCAAGAATAGCAGCTTTGGTATCAGACTGGTCTCTAAGTGTGGCTTTATAAAAAGCGATCCTTTGGTTCAGGAGTTCTCAGACTGGTATCCTTGCTGGCAGAGATTCTCCGTCTTTCACATCAGAAAGGCACAAGGGAACTGCAACGAGAGAGAAAGAGCAAATTCAGTCGAATGGACCATGCTCAATTTACCAGAGAAAGGGCAGTGTATTTCCAGGTTTTCCTAGGTTCTACCTTGGATATATTTGTCTCCTGATTTAGGGAAATGCTGTGTATGGCAATAAATCAACCTCTGTTTTCAATTACCAAGAGCTGCAAACACTTACATAATAGCACTGCGCTCTTTAAGCAATGTGAAGAACTTGAGACACTTTGCAAACAACAGTGATCTAGACAAACCTGCACAAAAATCAGGAGTGGAAATCAAACTTCCTGGCTCCTATGCCCTAACCATAAGACTGAATTTGTTCCGTAGTCATACAGGTTCAACAAGTTCAAGGTGAACTTAATGACAAGGAGATCAGCTTGGGGCAGAAAGTATTGAAAAGTGCGCTGGGGACTTCGTGTGACTCTCAGTCCCCAGCTGCATCTCTCCGTGGGCGTTTGGTGTTAGAAGGCTCTGTCCCTAAGTGTTGCTCAGTTCTTTGTCAACGACTAGCTCCTCACTGATGTGTTTTCTTCTCTTCCCTCTGGAACAGACTTTAGTGATGCTGTTTGCAAAAAGAAAAAAAAAAAATAGAAGAGCCAGTGGCAGTGTGAAAAAGAGAAAAACAACAACCCAGCAGGTTTTACAATAAAAGAAGCCATTTAGTTACTAAGTCTTGGCTTGCGATTGCAAAATTCTGGCTCTTAAAAAGCTCTCAGTCATTGTAGCTCACAGTCCTAATACAGCTGATATTGTGCTGACCCCCTTCTAGAGAGATATTTTCTTTCTTTACATTAGCTGATAGATTAATCATTTCATTCCCAACTCATCCGGCCTGTTTCCATGCTTTTCCAGCTGGATTTGTATTCAGCTACCACTTTTCCTGCTCTAATTGCCAGACCATAACTGCTCTTACATTATTTTCCTAGGAACAATTCTCTGACTCTCCGTGGTCTAAAAGGGACATTATCTTTTATCCCTGGGGTTTCAGGCTTTTTGCTCAACTAAGGTTTTTCCAGCTTGATTTTTTGTTACGTGCCAAACCCCCAAAGGTTTAGCTGAAATTAGTAGGAGCAGTAAATGTCTATGGCCAGACGACAATCTGAAAGCGTCTACAGATGACCATATTTGTCTTGGGGTTTTAAACAATACATTGTAATGCCTAGGAAAGGACTTGTGTTGCCATCCGCCAGCATTTACAAATGACAGGTTCTGCCGGTATCTGTGTGAGTGATAATGACACACAGCCACTAATGGAAACGGAATCAGGAGCATGAAATACGAAGTGGCATGTGCAACTGCTGCAATAATTATATTTATACAGCAGCAGCACTTAGAGGCTGTAATCAGACTGTGCTCCACTAAGCAAGGTACTATGCAAACAGATACAGAGGCAGAGGGCCACATGTACTCCACCTCATTTTAGCCTTGTAGCCAAAGCTTGCTTATTAGGAGTGAAATTTCCGTAGGTTCTTCCATAATCAAGAAAGGCGCACTCTAAAAGGCGATTCAGTCTAGCTGCTCTCTAGTAGAGTACCTCACCTCTGCTTTCACTGTGCAGCAATGGTTTTCAGCCTTCTTCAGTTTGAAGAAGCCTTAATGCTCCCTCTTGGAGGTACAGAGCCCTGTCTGGCAAACTGAAGCATACTGACAGAAGATGTTATGAAATTATTGTTACAGGCCCTTCCAAGGTACAGCACTGGATTCACGAGGATAAAAAAACACTGCTCTAGAGGCAGCCTAGGGTGATTGCCTCTCAAGTTATGCATTTCAGGTCAATACCTTATATTAGTTGAGATAAATCTGGGCCACCATTCTGGCCCCAGAGATATCAAAAATCCACAGTTCAAATAATTACATTTTATTGGGGATACTTCAATTTCTCATGGCATCCAATATTTTCCATACTGTTTTTCAAAATTTATTATCTTCCACAAATACAAGACACATATTTGACTGTTAATCAGCACAAAGTTTCAGTACAAATCAATGTCTGATTTTTACCTTGCAGACAAAAAGCTGTAGGTTGCTGGGTTGTTTTTCGTCAAAGTACATTTTTCAAAACCACAATTTCTCATATAGAGTCATAGAATCATTTAGGTTGGAAAAGACCTTTAAGATCATCAAATCCAACTGTTAACCGAGCACTGCCAAGTCCACCACTACACCATGTCCCTAAGCACCACATCTACCCGTCTTTTAAATACCTCCAGGGATGGGGACTCAACCACTTCCCTGGGCAGCCTGTGCCAGTGCTTGACAACTCTTTCAGTGAAGAAATTTTTCCTAATATGCAACCTAAACTTCCCCTGGAGCATCTTGAGGCCATTTTCTCTTGTCCTATCCCTTGTTACCTGGGAGAAGAGACTGACCCCCACCTCACTACAACCTCCTTTCAGGTAGTTGTAGAGAGCGATAAGGTCTCCCCTCAGCCTCCTCTTCTCCAGGCTGAACAACCCCAGCTCCCTCAGTCGCTCCTCATAAGACTTGTGCTCCAGACCCTTCACCAGCTTTGTTGCCCAGACTCACTTTCCATAGGCCAGATTTATGCTTTAGCCATTGCATGATAAATTTATTTGCTGGATGACAGCATCAAGGAGGACTAGGCTGCGAGTCAGTTATAGTTTGTAACTTTAAGAAAAACTGGAAGTAATCACTTTCAAGGAAGAAGTCTTGTCATTTATAGCTTTGTAAAGTCTGCACAGAGTTTTGCAGGTTTTTTTGTGGGGGAGATATTTTTCAAATAAGATTGTTTAAAAGTTTATGCTTTAAAAAAGAAAGAATGGAAACAGATATTAATCTCCTTCCAGTGAGGGTATATGAGCAACTAAACTATTCCCAATTAAGTTCTTCTTATCCTCATTTTCTGCATTTCCTCAGATGCAGACCCAGGTTACAAGAAAAAGCAATTGTCTGAGTTGTGACATCCTTTTCAGCTCTTAACCCCTGCACTTTTAAAATGCAAATTTGGAACTAGCTCGGGGGAAAAAAGATTCAGCAAATGGCTGAAACGCAAATCGCTACAAGAAATCAGTGTATACGTTACTGAGAATTCAAACACGACTCACAGCCAAAAAAGAAATCGTATTCACAAAGGATTTCTTGCAGTTTTGTCTCAGCTGGGTTTTGTGCATTTTGGAAGTCACCTATGAAATAGGAATAACAAATGTGTGGGATATTACCTTTCCATTAGCTTTGATAATTACAACTGAGATGATGTATTTTTCCTCCCTAATTTCTACTTGAAATTCAGATATTATCTGCCTCCCTTTCCACAGGAGATGTTCTGGACCAGCTGGGACAGGATTATTTGCGATCTCTCGTGTATTTTCAGGGTCTTTCATGGCAGAGCCTTTCTCCGCACATCCATGGAGCAAACCCGCGGCGGCAGAGCCCTCTCGTGGAGAATCAGACGGTTCTGGCAGGAGGAGAGTTTTTTGTTACTTTTTTTTTTGCATGGGAGGAACAAGAAGGACGTCCTATGGATTGCTGTGGCAGGAAAAAGTCCACGCAAGACACCCCGCTCACCCCAGCATCTCCTTCACCCAGCCTGGAGTATCAACAAGTCTTCTTACCCCGAGAACCGAAACACAGAAGCCAATACTCCTCTCATTTTTGCCTAATTTAATACCCCCAGTTAGGAGGGCTTTGGCAATGCTCCTACCAAGAGGTTTTGCCGCTTCTATTTGAAAATATAACTATGCCACCTGCATTTCACAAACTGAACCAATGTTTCTACCTATAAAGGCAGGAGAAAGATGGGTATTTCAGTTATACTGTCCTGGAGTTTCAGGTTATCTTCTGTTAAAAGGGGACTGCAACCCTGCATTTAGGAAAAGCCACCTTATTTTAAAAATAAAGGCTTCTAGAATAAAGGCTACCGGCACACACGTACGTACAGGAAAATCACTCTGGCTAGTATGCACCTGGCTAGCATGCACCTGGCTAGCTTTCATGCAGAAAAGTACAGTAGACAAACTTAGAAGTAGGCACATAGAATCATAGAATTGTTAAGGTTGGAAAAGACCCTTAAGATCATCGAGTCCAACCGTTAACCCAGCACTGCCAAGTCCACCACTAAACCATGCCCTCGAGCACCACATCTACCCGGCTTTTCATTTCCTCCCGGGATGGGGACTCAACCACTTCCCTGGGCAGCCTGTGCCAGTGCCTGACAACTCTTTCAGTGAAGAAATTTTTCCTAATATCCAACCTAAACTTCCCCTGGTGCAGCTTGAGGCCGTTTCCTCTTGTCCTATCGCTTGTTACTTGGGAGAAGAGACCGACCCCCACCTCACTACAACCTCCTTTCAGGTAGCTGAGAGAGACATATTTCGCTTTGGATGGTACTGCCTTTCTCTATCCTCTTTTAGCTTTCCAGTTGTAACATTTCTGTGCATATAAAACAAATTTTTGCAAACAATGACTGTCTACGTGCCAAAGTTAGCGGGGATTTGGTTGAATTTTAACTGGGAAGAGAAGGTTACACCTTGTCCTTCTTAATATCCATGCATGTTTTGATCAGACCTAATCAAACACTGCTGTATATTAAACATGTTACACTTTTACTTTAATTCGACCCAAAGCAGTACTAAAGTGACTTATGTACACAACGCCTGCCCGTTGATAAAAAAAATAAATGGGTGCAGCTGCATGTATGTTGGGAAGCAAGGCACTGAAGGTAAGACTCGTAATTATTAGGTCCTTACATGCTTTTTATGGGGGGGAAGGAAGAAGATAGGGAATAGTGGAAATTCCTCTCATCGGAATGGCTAAATGTGCCACCTTCTTCTGGAGGCACCGTTAACGAGTACAGAACCTGTAAAATGCGAACTGGAAATCCTCTAGCAGCGTAGGACCTGGGATCACAGCCTCGGGGTGGTGATAAAATATACTCTCAGGGTGCTGTGAAGGCTGGCTGCTCCCTCAGGACCAGGGTGCAGGGAGCAGAGGGTATCCCTGGGCTGTCAGGATGAGGACCTTGCCAGCCAGGGTCTGTCCCTCTGCCCCCAGCGAGGGAGCAGGGCAGCCCTGGGGGTGGCCACCTGGATAAACAAAAAGCCCAGATCCCCAGGCAAGCAGTGGTGGGGCAAGTCCAAGACCAGGTTGGGAACACAAGTCAGCAAGTCATGGTCAGGATCAGGCCCCATGGGAGTAACCAGGGTCAGGCATAGCCCGGTGACAGACGGGCAAGCCCGCGGTGCTGAGGCAGGCCCGAGGCCAGGCCAGGCAGCCAGCCCACGGGTCGGGGTCAGGGTCCGTATTAGTGGCCAGGCACAGTCAGCGCTGCGACGCCGCAGGGCTGTAGCTCAGGCAGGAGGGAGTCTAATCATTATTATTTGAGATCCAATTTTTCAGAAAAAGAAATAATAACTAATTAAAATTGGTTTACACCAAGTTTCCCCCATTTTCCTGGTAGTGTGCTCCCCCTTCCCCTGCTCCTCTTAAGGCAGGTAATTTCATTCTGGGGTTGTGGGGGGTGTTACAGCAAACTGTCCTTTGCCCAGAGAAAAGCACAGACAAATTTGCATGAGTTAAGTTTGAGAATATTTAACTTTTCTAGAGATTTTATACCCATGTTTGCAGAAATTGTAAGCCTTTAACCCAAGCTGTTAAAGAAAAAACCAGGACTAGAAATCTGAACCAGATCAAGATTAAGCCCTGTCAGCTTTGAAAATCAAGTTAGCATAGGCACCTGCATGATGATTTTCTGATCCAGCATAACCATTTCATTTGCAGTTTGCAACCACTATATGTGTAGGGAGCCATGCTGTCACAAAAACCAGGAAAGAAGCAACAAGCTACGGCATATGCCCTCACTATGCCCTCACTAACACTGAAGACGGTTCACTTGGTATGAAAAAGTGTGTGGTGCCAATATGGACCTTAGAAGACTTATATCATAGGAGACAGACCAGCTACAGCTCAGACAAAATATGAAGTACACCGTGTCAGGAAAAGTACCAAATTGGCATGTTTCCAGCCTAGGGACCACAAGTTGGATACTTGCCTTAATGAACTGGGGAGTTACCATGAATTAAGGACAGATTCTGTCACTCACAGCTTACGGACCATTAAGTATGGGGAGTGAATATGAATGTCCGCTACTGCAGGAAGAAGAAACCAGCAACATCAACATCATATTCTTCCCAATGAAGGACTTGAGGATGACAATTCAGGTGTTATCCTCCTCACAGTCAAAAACTTCTGACTTTAATACACAGATAAACAATGAAAGGGTGAGCATAACACCAAGAAAAAGTGATAGAAACTAAGTGCATGTTTTACAATTTTAATTGCATTACTATTATTGAGATTCCTTCTCCACAGAAGTGTCCTAAGTGCAATCTTATTCTTTCTTTTTTTCCTAATAATTAGATCTAGACTAAAAATGATTCTTCAATTAGACTGTTATCAATTGTGCTAACAATAAATTCTTAGCTTGATATATACATATAAGTTGTGCTGCTTCTTTGCCCATAAACAAGACTTGGAGCACAAGACCAGCTATTGCAATGATTCATACTATGTGTACATATATATAGTATGCACATATATATATGTATGTATGTATACCCTTTCCACTAGCAGATCCCCACCGTGATCAGGCAGTGAGGAGGAACAGGACCAGGCCACCCATACCATTCATATTTGTGTGAATGCTTTGTGTTTTCTGTCTCATTACTGCTTTACTTTTCATTTCAGTTTACCTTCCTTTGCTGTCTTTTCTCTCAACAGCCCCAGAGCATGGATAGTCAAGCAGTCAACAAAAAAAGAACAAAATCTCCTATCAGTCTGTAAGACGGCCATCAGCACCGGCACTGGCTCTGGCTGGGATGGAGTTAACTTTCCTCATAGCAGCTCGCATGATGCTGTGTTTTAGATTTGTAACTAAAGAGTGTTAATAACACACAAGGTAGTCATACCATACAGAATGACCCAGCGGATCACTTGGATCAGACTCCTTTGCAGAGTTCGGGATGGCTGTCCAGGCTGTGTCCCCTCCCAGCCTCCTGCCCACCCCCAGCCCACTCCATGGGGGGCAAAGGGAGAAACAGTGAAGCCTTGGTGTTGTGCAAACCCAGTTCAGCCAAAATACTGGTGCATTATCAGTGCTGTTTTGACCACAAATACAAAACACAGCACCATACTGGCTGCTATGAAGAAAATTAACTCTATCACAGCCAGACCCAGTACAATAACTCACTTTCTCTGAAACCCTTTGGGCCTAATGACACAATGACTTTGTTTTTTCCTCAGTTTATAAGCTGAGTTGGCAAGGACCTGGCACAGAGGAGCAAGTAAGAGTGGGGCAAAGCAGTTTTTAAGCCCTGAGAAACTGTTGACTGACCAGGAAACCCCTCCTTCTGCATCTCCTTCAGGAAAGCATTACACTAATTTCTGAGCTCAGACCCTCCCCAACATACTCTGAAGTTGACTCCTGAAGCCACCTCTGAGGGCTTGTCCATAACACCCACAGAAATAGTGGGCTGGGTAACCCTGCGGCTCCCCGTCCTCACCCAGCAAACGTCCTCAGACCTGCTCTGCAACAGCCTCTCCCCTCCCCTGCATGCTCTCAGACCTCCACCTCCCCTCCTGAGAAGCAGGACCAAAGGAAACATGGGTTTCCATAGCCTGACCGCCACAAGGGTCTCATATTTCCACGTGATGAAGAAAAGTCACCGAGAGGTCCGAGCCCTCCACCGCCTGCTTGATGGGCTACCTTATCTTATTGACCTGTCAGCCTCACCTCTGTGCCTGGGAAGATCATGGAACAGATCATCCTGGAATCTATGCTAAGGCACATGGAGGACAGGGAGGAGATTGGGGACAGTCAGCACAGCTTCACCAAGGGCAAGTCCTGCCTGACCAATCTAGTCGCCTTCTGTGATGGAGTAACTACATCAGTGTACGAGGGAAGAGCTATGGGTGTCATCTATCTGGACTTCTGTAAGGCCTTTGACAAGGTCCCCTGCAATA